TTTAAATTTTACCAAGTGACGATTACTATTTACCCAAAGGAACCTGATTAAGTTACATGCATAAGTAAACACGTCTCTTACACACACAAACATAATACAATGAGGGGCTAAATTTCAGAAAATCAACACAAAGACGTCTGTTTCTGTAATCGAATAAATCAATTACCTAAACGTTCGTCGTGTTAAGGGAAAACTACAACAACGATACAACAGAAAATTTACATTTGTGAATGGTTTGCTAATATTGAAACGTGTTTAATTGCCATTGCAGACGATCATGGTTGGTATAAATAAGGGGGAAACAAGTTAAGGGCAGCAGGTACAAGTGCTACCAAACAGTTAGTGTTTCTAATAGAGAGAGTTTTAATCGATGCAGAAAATGAGGAAGAGAAGAGTTCTCTTCATCAAGACAGTGTACGAATTGACCTTGATCCACAGCGACTAATATTAATAGGATGATGAGAAAACGAAATATTCATCCAATAAGGAAGCGTTAATATATCCAAATACAAAACTTACAACCCATATGTTAGTAGATAATGGAATTTTCTTTGTAAAGGTAAAGTATGTTTTGTTAGGAAAACGAGACATGGCTGCCATCTGAGTCAGTCGGGCACATGTATAGTATAGTAGATAGGTAAAAGCAAAGATCAAAAGTCGTAATCACAATGCGCCCCCATGGTGTATTTTAAAAATAGTCGTACACCATGCGCCCCAAAGAACCAACTGCCCCTATATGTTTGTGCTTCGACAGATAAACACAACACCGGCTAAATCTGAACGTTCCCCCCTAATTGTATCACGTGATTTATTTCTACATGCTTTCAGCGTGTGTACATTAGTAAATTATACATGCACATCGCCGACCGAATGTGTGTGCACTTGTTAGCGGGACAACACTCTAGTGTTTCTCCTCTCTAAAAATGAATTAGTCAAAAATGACTAATTTAATAGTTATTAGTGGCTGCTTTTTCACTTGGGATACCATGGTATCCCAAAGTTTAACAGTCTTCTTTTTTTTGCAGATTATGAAATTCTGAATTCAGCAATATGCACACTTTTAATAAATATAACAAAAAAAGTAGTTTGTCTTGATAAAGTAAAGATCCCTATTCGTCAAACAATTGCTTTTGTTACGGCAAAAAGATCATTTTTATAAAAAATATTTATCTACAAACGCTGCTTTCAGTAATTTGCATTAATTATAAAGTAAATTTACGTTATGTTTATAAAAATAACACTCTTCCAGATGCAGAAATGCATTGATAAATATAGTTATTATTATTTGTCCAAAAAAACAGTTCTATACCGTTTACAAAAACGTTTTGTAGTATTAATGAAACCCTAATGGTATTATTCATAGAAATTTTGTTAATTTTACAAATCCCTTTTCGTTTAAAATAAAACTTTTTTATAATATTAATAAAATTTATCTCCACGCGGTCTATAATTTAAACTTTATTGTTGTCAACATTCGATAAAGAAATACCTTGTTATGGCCTAGGCCGATAAAACATTTTATGAGGCAAGTAACTAGTTCGATTTTTTCTCGCTAGGGGTATTGTTTTGACAAATTAATCATTTTCTAAGAAATAAACGTACTAAACTGGTTTAATTTATTTATAATAAGCACTAATTTGTTTGTTTTACTGTTAATGAAAAATATTTTTCATTAAATTATTGTAAAATTAAATATGAATAATAAAACAAAAAGTGAGGTTAGGCAACCAAGAAAACGCACGATTCTTTTTCTACGATTTAAATTATCTTTAAGTTTTCAGTGAAATTAAATGTTAAACACAGCTTAAACATTCCAAACCACCTATTTTTTAAATAAAAATCCAAACAAATTGAAATTAGATACCTACCTATTTATTAAACAATTAATTTAATTCAATGTAATAGCAAAAATCCATTTTTACTTAAATAATGTGGCTAGGTATTGTCAAACTATTACTGCTTCTAAAAGCAATAATAATTATTGTACATTTAATGTAATCTTTAGCTAATAAATAAATGAGATTCTAAAAAAATGAGGTTAGGCCGTTTTGATGTTGAATTAAATTGACCTATATAAAGTGCTTTGAAGATAAAATGTTGTTTGCCATTCGGCCAAGAAGTACCTTTTTGTGCTTCGCTCAAACCTTGAGCTTAGCACAAAAAGCCTTACTTCTTAACCTAATGACATAAATAACTATTGTTATTGTTCTTAACGTAAGCTATTAACAAAGATTTTCTAACTGAAATAAAATTAATTTGAATTACAACGATAGTAATTTAAAAAAGACAAATATGCCATAGTAAAATGAACAAATTTTACTATAACAACTGCGCATTACTTTATGTAAGCGCAATTCACACAAAACTATAGATTTAACAAAAACATTTTAAGTTCGACAAAGATTTAATATAAACATAAAGTATTTCTTATTGCCATGACAATATGATAACAACATTACTTTGTTGGATGAATTTTTTTTTATAAAAGCTCAAAATTGCTGCTTCATTATAGTGATAATTTCATTAACAGTAAAAAAAGTTATTCTGTAAATAAAAATAATCTCATTACTCTGACAAATCGTAGGTTTTTGTCCCAATAAGACACTGACATTTTTTTTTGAAAATTTAAAAATGGTGATTTCAAAAATTGAGAGACTAAAAAGTTTTATCCACCGCATAGCTCGAACCTTGTAGACTAACATTACGACGTGGGTAAATGATTTAACAGTTCAAACAAGTGGTACAAATAATTTTTTTGTTTCATCAAAGTTTTCATAATTAGATATAACAACAATGTGACATAATACGATTTTAATATGAAGCTTCTCATACATTATGAACTCGTGTGGTAAATTTTAATAGGGCACAAGTTTGTTCATCATGCATAATAAATATTTAGTAGCGACTTAGTTGTTACAAAGGATAATTACATGCATAACATGGCGACTTCGTAAATATGCTTCGTTTCTGTAATAATAACGTTTTATAATAATAAACTAGATTAATTTGGGAAAACAACCCGTTAAAGTTTTGTGGAACTTTTGCAGGAATTAGGATATAAAGTTTCCAGTTAATTTAGTTGAATGAGGTCGGATTGTTTTATTTACAAACATATTAATAAACTTTATTGTTATCGATTTCTCCGTTTGATTATATGAACTTCTGTGGCCGACCACCTACTGTGGGCATCCTGTTGTGAAATCTAATTTTAAGAGATTGGTTGGTTGCTGAAACAGCAGGATTAAACAGTGGTATTGGTTAGCGCTAGCAGGAAAACAAGCAGTATGGTAATTGTTTTCGGTGCCCGGTAATTAATTACCAGCGCAAAATACAATTATAAATATTTATTATGCTTCCAGAACTGTTATAGTATACAGGGTGTTCCGAAATTAGTGCACCATACTTTAATAGGACGTGCAAAAATAAGAAAAAAAGTCCCTATATATAGGTCGAGAAATGCCTCCTAAGGGAGCTACAGCCCCCGAAAAGGGAGCCCCTGAATATGTTTTTTATCTAATATTTATAAAAAAGTAGAAACACCCTGTCAATTACTACATGAAACTGTCATCTGTCTTGAATTATTCTATTTTTTTCCTAAACATGGCAGTCGTATTACAAGGACCACGCGAGTCCATTTCTATGGTTGTGATTTAATTGTGAATTTTTATGCCATGTAAAATAATTTTCAAATCGATTTTAAGCGAAATACACCGTTTTAACGAAGTTCAACAAGATGACCTTTTTTATGTGCAAAACTCCAAAATTTCATAATCTGACATAAAATTCTGGTACAAGATACGTACAAAAAAGTTAAGGTGGTTTTTTAAATTGTTATTGTTACGTCTTATTGGTCATAAAAAGTTTAATTAATTCCCTAAATTTCACTTTTCTATCTTAAATAAAAACCATCTTCAGGGGCTTTTCTTTTTGGGGCCTTAAGAGGTATTTCTTGACCTATGTTTATAGGGACTTTTTTTCTTATTTTTGCATGTAGAATCTGCTGTTAAAGTATGGTGCACTAATTTCAGGACACCCTGCATTATGTATCAAGTTTGATAAACGCCATTTTATACACGAATTTAATTTAGGCACGAGTGAGCTTGCGAGCGAGTGCTTAAGTTAATGAGTGTATAGAAAAGTTTATAAACGAGGTGCATACTATACTTTTTCTACGACAAATACTTATTATTATCTTAAAATGATTTAAATCAAAAATTTGTATAGAGCGCCATCTATGAAACAACAGGGGAAACTGTCAAATGTCACATTCAGATTCACATTTTTACATTTTATAAACACAATTATAAAGGTTATAAATCGAAATGTATCTTGAAAATTGACAGTTTTTCACAGTGAAAGTAAAGAAAATGTTTTATGAGCACTTTACAGTGGAGTCCGTGCCCGAATTTAAGTTATAGTTTACTTCCGGCGAAATTTAAAGGTCAGTACAATGTTCATATAAAGAAATATTGGCGTTTAGAAACTATTTAATATTTTTGTATTTTTGTATTGAGATAATAAAATAATTTTCACATTTAGTATTATTTTACAAGAAAGGCACTTTATTTTAACGATTGTATGACATTTGACAACTGTCAACTAACTTAAAAAACTAACTTCAGCCTGTGACTAAAAACCTGTTGCTAACTTCAGCCCGTAACTAAAGCGCCATAAAGCCACAACTTGTTAATGTGTATTTAAAAGGTCACTTAGTGTCATGGAAACATGTACGATAAAGGGCGTTTTAAAGGTGGGAGTAGAAAAAATATTTTAAAGCATCTAACAGATCCTAAAAACTATGTTTTTTTACAATTAAACGCAAAAATAAAGTTGTGGTGGTTAACGATTTCAATTTGTATTTACAAATAAAACTCGTTGCATTTTCATAAAATATAAACACATTTTTTGCTCGAAATAAAACTAAATATAATTACGTCCTCCCAGCGGATTCATTTAAAACATATTTGCAGGAATAATAAAACACATTTTTTTTCTTTCAGATGGAGTTTTCGCGGGCTTTTCACCCGGGAAAACGCAGAGCAACGCCGATTCCCGTTGCACCTCCAAGGATACCAACTCCGATGCCTCTTAACAATAATAACACCAGGTAAGCAGTAAAAAGGGATTCGTTTTTAAATTGAACTACCCACAACACAACGAAATTGCTTTTATTTATTTTGCTTGCTAAAATTTAAAAAAACCGTAATTGGAAGTTGTTTTCTAACTGCAAAACAACAGGGTTTTCCACTTTTTTAATAAATAAGTAGTTATTTTTGTTAGTTCCTGAAGTATTTCTCCAGAGAGATTCTTTTAGCAGAGAATGTAATATTAGTTATAATTTTTTATTTGGAGATTTGGTCAATAAAAACAAATTAATTTTAAACGATTTTAAACATTTTTTTAAAAATATATCCAAAAAGGGGTTTTATATGAACAAAGTATGTAAAATTAAAGTTGCAACAGCATATATAGGGTGTTTCCATTGGTGGTTTAGAAATTGTTAAATAACTCTGAAATTATTAAGTTTAGGTATAGGGAATAGTTACATCAATAAAAAGATTTTTTAATTTACTATTTGATTATGTAAAAGCATACTGGGTGTTGCATTTAAAATAAAAAAGTTATTAACCTTTTAAGTTAGCCCAATTTGCTCTGGGTTTTGCTATAAAATTTTAAAGAATTGACGTTAAAACGTTTAAACAATGTTTTAAGATTCCAAAACTTCCACAGCCATATCCGCAAACTTAATAACAAAAAAGTTATAGGCTATTTATGATTGAGGCGCATTTCTCAAATTTTAACAAAAAAATTAATAACTCGGAAACTATTCACTATACCTAGGACATGGTATAGTAATTTTACTCACAATTTAATGTAGTATTTTAAAATGTAAAAATATATGGGGTGTTCTATTTAAAAAAACAAAGTTGATGTCACTTTCGGTTAAACCGGAAGTAGCATTTTTTATATGAATTATAAACGCTTTTAAAATTTCAAATTGATATCTTTTTTCGTTTTCCAGAAATTTCTAATGGACCACGAATGTGAAACACCCTGTATATACTTCGTTTCTTATTCAAATAAAACAGTACAGGTTTAATTTTATAAAAAAATTAACCAAAACATTTAAATCAAGAAGGCATGTTTTTGATGTCAATAAAATGCTTTAAAATCAAACAAGCCAAAATTAATTTTTGCGAAATTATCGTCTATTTTGACTGAATTTTTTCACAGAGAAAACGTACAATCCCTAATTTTTGTAATTTTAAGGAATTCTTAGCCATTTTCTTTTTGTAAGTTTTGACCTAAAATTCCGATTCCTTGACCCAAACTTGCAAAAACAACATCTATTTTGTCATTTTATTACATTTGATTTAAAAAACAGCCAATTTTATAATTATTTTTTATGGTTTCCATAAATGTTATATCATAATAAAACCTAAATTTCTTAATTTGGTTACAGAAATATTTATATCACCCTTAAAAAGCTTATTTGGGGAGTTCATGAAGGTTATTGGTACCTATTTTAGTAACACTATAAAACCCAGGTTTTATAACTAGAGATAACAGGAATATTATGGAAACCACTATATAACTTCCTAAAGAACTGCTACCGGCTTTTTTCCTTCTTTTAATATTTCTCTCTCCCTCAGGCATATTTAAAATAAATATTTCTTACGTACGCTATCTTTCTTATTCATTAACTTGTTTAAACCACGTAAATATATTGAGAAGCCAAGTATGGCGAAAATATTAATGGTATATAATTTAAGATATTTTACTAAATACGACTTAAAGTGCAAAGTAATTTTTATTGTAAACATGTACACAATACTTCGAAAAACAGCAGTGGACATCAAAATACTACAACATAAATATTTTTTTAAAAATATTTGAAAATACTAATTTCTGTTTTAATTACTAAACATTTATTAACACAAATAATTAATAACTCACAATTTTTTTTTTTAAAATAAGGACAAAATAGTTTTATAAAACAGGTAACCACAAACTTTATAAAACTCCTTTATAAACCTACTGGTAACGGTTACTAAAGGTTATATAAAATGTTTGAAGAAACAATTATATAACCTACTTATATACCTAGAGTTTACAGTAACCTTATATGACCATTATAAAACTAGTAAACTAAATGGCGATTTTATAAAACCTTGTTAAACTCTTATATAACCTTTATATAATTTATCGTTTCCATAAGTAGTACAAATTGTAGAACTCTTTTCGCTTTTGTCATTATCAGTGACAGGTCTATATGCATTGTTGTTTAAAATTTAAAAATGATAACTTTGTAAAACGAAAGTTCACTATGAAGAAACAAATATTTAAAAAAGGTTTATTTTGCACTTAAACCTCTACATAGAATTGGCCTATAAATTTTTGTTAACATTCACAATACAGTTTGTCAATAATAAACGATAACATTCCGTGTAGTCTTAGCAACTCGAAAACTCATAGCGACTAATATTGCCTTTAAAATTAAAATTCCAGTCATATTCTCTGGAAAAATTATGTTTTATTACCTGAAACAAGTTTACTCGCAAATGAAAAGTTCTAATTAAAAAATAGCAAGCTTATGAATAAGAAAACCTCGCTGGAGCGTGTGCGACATTTAAAAATCCCAGTAAGTATTTTTTGTATTTGTTACTGCAATTCCATGCTTTCTTTTAGCTACGAGTATCTCTTTAATTTCTCCGTCGAGCAGATTCAACGTTCAGGATAAAGCAGGAGGCATTTTTCGAATATTTTTTGCATAAGATCGCAAAGCTCAGAATGAGAAAAGGGCTTTTAAGTTTCATTCATGCTTAAATTAATTTGTCAGGCTTTCACGGCTTCTTAATTACTTACATGTTTCTTTGTAATTACTTTTCTTTCAGAGACAATTTTTGATATAAGCATTTTTAAATGTAAATGTGACTAGTGACCCATGCATGCTGAAGATATTTGTCAATATTTTGATCCTCAATTTCCAATACTCACTCAAAGAACAAAAAGTGTCTAATTTGCATTGTAAGTGGTCTATTATAAAGGTAAAGTACCAATTAGAATTCCTCTTGAAACATGCTGATAAGGTTCGATGGTAAAACTGCACAATTCACAAAATCTAATTAAAATTTTAGAGTATAAAATATAAAGAGAACTAAAATGGATGAACCAGATGGAAAAATAAGTGTCTAAAGTTACAGTGGCGGCTCGTGGGTGTATAGGAGGGGAATATATAAATATATTACTAATTTTTGGCGTTGGACGACTATTTTTCAGTTTAGTTTCTTTATTAAGAAAATAATGTCATGAACAGGATTAAAAAAAAAACAGAAATATTTAACTTACCGGTATTTTAAAAACTGGTGTGTATGTACCTCCGTGCCCCACAATAATAAAATAATAAATTATACTAACTGAGACAAAAACTATAAAAGATCAAAAACAGTTTTAACGAATTTATTCTGATTCAAAATAAAAACACCCGCTCTACACACACTGCTATCCACCACATCTTCAGTCATGTGATATAAAACCTCAAGAAGCGACAACAATTCTTATTGATTAATTATAATTATACCCAGTATCCAGAAAAGGTAAATGTGTGAGCTGACATAATTAAAAATGGTAACGAAACTCTAATTGGCGAAAGTTACACTGAGAAAAAACAATGGTTATCTTAATCAAATATATAGTAACTTTTACTAAATATTCTGATTAGTATAGGCACAGCCATATTTACTGTTATGTTAAGCATGTTTATATTGTAACAGTTTTATTGTCACTTTAACTATATTTTTGTTGTTGCACAAAACAATAATTTATTTAGTTATAATAATCATATGCAAATACCTTATAAGTTATAACCCTCTATATGGTTAAATATACTATACGTATGATATGTATAAACTTTCTGTATAGTAAAAACTACAACGACATATTGTTAATAATGTGTGACAACATTATATTGTTATTGTAACCAGATAATCTTATAATTTTAACCATCTAGTGGAGTACTAACAGTTTAGCCGTACATGATGGTTGTAATAGCCTAATCAAATATCTAACTTTACTCAATTTTTATAACAACATGATTAGAGTACATATAACAAAACTAATTTTACGTATATTGATATTAAAACCATAAGTTATAATTAAATAAACCATATTTTGCATAACAAATCTATATTGTTAGGGATTACAATATATTTTCTTAGAGTGTACTTAACTTCTTTCACCATATTTGGCAGATCAGTTTCCAAAATAAGATGATTCAAACTAGATAATAAACTCTGGTAGAAGAGGTGCACTTGAGTGGCCAGCCCCATCTCCAGACCTTATCACCTTGCAATTTTTTCTGTGGAGTTATCTTAAAAATGTTTATGTCACCAAACCAAATAATATTAAAGACCTTAAAAAGATACAACTCGTTTAGAGAAATGTTGGAAAAAAGTGAAAATGATTTTTATATTCTTCTAGCATTTTATCAAGAAAAAAGAAATAAAACTAATGAAAATGTCCAAAACACATTTTGCATCAAGAATTTTTTTAAAGTTATTAAAATCGACGATAGGCATTTGCCTAGATTCCGGTCTCTACTGATTATGATAAAAAAAAGTTATTGTCGTTTAAAGTTCTGAAACTAAATACATACGTCCTAATTATCTTAAAAATAATTACCAATTAATCCGTGCGACAATTAAAATTAAAATTTTCCAGACTTGTGCAACCAAAAGGCCATTATTTTAAAGTTTTATGGCCATTCAGATGCTGCTCATTAACAGTTTAACTAACTTAAACCCAATTATTTTAATTATAAACTTTTAAATGGGCAAATACACAAACCAAAAGTTTAATATTTCGAATTTTACATCCATACCCATGCACATTTATATATTTTTTAATTAATCAGTTTCTCTTTTTGGCAATACATTTTTTTAGTACCGTTCGCAGTAGGTATACCACTAATAATTATTATAAAAAAGGGAGTTGTTAAGAGCTAATATATTTTACTTAATCACGCTGCTGTTCAAAGTAAATGTTGTATTTGGCCACATTGGTGATTACTTTTGGAATGAAAATCACCGGTCAGATATCTCATTTATT